CATATTTTATGTCCGTCTTCAAGTACCCAAGTATCAGGACATATTGGGGTGAATTTGGCATACCGGCTATTATGAATACCATGACGAGAAATCGATATGACAAGGTACGCCAGTTTTTGCATCTAAATGACAACAGTAAGATGCCACGTCCGTTAGCTCAAGAACCAGCTCCTTCACGTCGACGAGGATTGCGTCCACAAAACACTGATTCCTCAAACATTGATCGTTTATATAAAATTCGTCCGCTTATTGATGCTTTAAATAGAAACTTTGACTCTGTTCCAAAAAGAAGTCGTTTGTGTGTGGATGAACAAATTTGTGCCACAAAAATTAAGCACTATTTGAAACAATACTTGCCAGACAAGCCTCACCCGTGGGGCAATAAGTTATTTTTGATGTGTGACGATATGGGATTCTGCTATAATTTTGAAATTTATTCTGGCAATGAAGACCATGTTTTGGAAAATGAACCAGATTTGGGAGCAGCAGCAAATGTTGTGGTGCGGCTTGCTCGTAGAGTTCCGCGTTTCAAGAACTACAGAATTTTCTTCGATAACTATTACACAACTATTCCTTTATTGGCTTATTTACGCACCCAGGGAATCTATGGGCTTGGAACAGTTCGACGTAACCGAATTCCTGGCTGCAAATTGCCAGAAAAATTACCCAATCGAGGAGACTGCGAAGAATATATGACCAGTATTCATGGTATAGATATAACTACTATAGCATGGAGGGACAACAAAGTTGTAAATATGGCATCGACTTTGCTTGGCATCAAGCAATTGAAATCGACAAATGCAAACGACACTGATGACGCGCCTACGATTGCCAGGTATTTTATACTTTCAACAAATACTTACTGAATATAATTTTTTCTTTAGATTTGACAAAAAAATAAGTGTAACGTAAATATTCAGTGCCCTGCGATAATCCACGAGTACAACAAGTACATGGGAGGTGTTGATCTTATGGATTCGTGCTTTGGTAGAAGCCGCATAAGAATAAAGACACGCAAATGGACAAATCGTCTTATATACCATATGATGGACATGGCCATGATAAATGCATGGATTTTATATAAACGCCAATTCTCTTCATCTCCTCGTACAAATAACATGCTGACTTTGCACGAATTTATCGTAGACGTCAGCAAAGTTTTAGTCAAATCTGGCACACTATCTATAAGGAAAGGACGTCCATGAAGCACTGGAGAATGTGAGACCCCTGAAAATGTGCCAAAACGAGTTCGGGTAGTAATGCCGCCTAGTGACGTGCGGTTTGATAATGTTGGGCACTTCCCGAAATACCTAACAACAGGCAAACCTCGCTGTAAAATGCCCAATTGCACATCTAGAACAACAGTGTATTGCATTAAATGTGAGGTAGAATTATGTTTCCAATCAACAAAAAACTGCTTTCTAGAATATCATACAAAACATTGAATAAATGAACTGAAATATATATAATTTAAATGAAAATAAAAAAAAATCATATATAGACCATATGCATTTTACTTGTCAAAGGAGTGCCTGGTGGTTCTTCAAAGAACCAACACACAAAACCTCCCCTAAAATGTCCAAAACTCAAAATTGTGAAAAGTCGTAGAACAAACATTGTTAAGGGTCCTAAAATACATCATATAACATTTTTTCATTGAAAAAGAAAAAGTCAGGCTATTGAGGGTTAAGGATCGTACCATGATGCAATAATAAGGTGATGTATCAAAACAAAAACATTTGTTTTTCTCTCGATTGTCTGCCAATTTTTTCCATATAATATATGACATGGTTGGCAACATTGCACATCGAATTCAAGTAAAAATTACGCACTTTGACAGTTAATCGAGACATCAGCTGCTCTAAATGGACTATCTATTCATTGTGGCATGGCTGGTACCTAATTTATTGCGACCGGTAGGTACAAAAATAATCTCCTTCTCACCTTTATATACGCAAGGACTTTATTTGCATCCGTGTCATTTGGAAACGGTGAAAATGGATGAAAACATAATTTTAATTGATCGATAAATGTTTACTTTTGGTATGATCCCGTACTGCAAGAATACCTATGTTACTATGTAATGCAACGGTGTCTCCTGGACTTAACAAGCCCAGTGTACATTTCACGCGACATTACAATTAAATCCTATGGAGAACTGCTACATATAATGGAAAAGTATTAAAAAATTGTACTGTGGACGACGTGAAAAAGAAAATAAGCACAATACGTTCGTTTTACGGAACGGATCTCCGAAAAATAAAGCAGTCTGACACTTCTGGAGCTGGTACGGACAATATTTACCAGCCGAAGATTTGGTGGTTTGAGTTTCTCCAGAGCTATGAGAAACCAAGCGATAGCATATCAACATTGCCCCTTCCATGGTACAATAATAGAAGGTACGGCAGCTTGAGGCGAATAACAAAAAAACAACTATGCACGTGTGGCTTCTTCTGCAAAAAATAAAATAAATATACGCAACAAGTGTTTGTATTTATTTCACATTTTTTCAACACAAAACTAAAAACGCGAAAAATGAATGAAAGGTTATGATTTCTTTCCAAAATCCAGTAGGGAATATTTACACTGTATGTCATGACATGCCCTGAAAGTAACATAGGCTAGCTAAACTTCTAAAATTCCGCGTGGATGCAGAGTTATAGCGTCAATAGTAAACAAACCTCAATATTTCGGAACATGTAATATGCGTATATCTTTAGAACGGTTACAGATACCGTCTTCAAAATTTGTGTGAATAACGTAGGTGTAAATACACACCATCCATACAAAAACGAGCTTGGTATGATCAACGGAAAATACAATTTCTGCTGCATTTTCAAAATCTGCATATTGAAAACAGAAAACATTTCGTTTGTAGACTCAAACATCGCTGGACAGATTTTACTGAGACTTTCACAGAATGTCATGGCATGTCCTGGGAATAACATAGGTTATATAAACCTCTAAGATTCGGCGTATATGCGGAGTTATAGCATTGAACGTACTCATGCCTCAGAAATTATGAACATGTAATTTGTGTATATTTTAAGAAAGGTTACAGATACCGACATCAAAATATGTCTAAGTAACGTTGGCGTAAGTACGCATAATCCATTTAACAGGAAAATTCAATAACTTCTATACAAATCATATTAAAATTAAAGATTCAGGGGCAGCGAAGCGTCACGGGTCCTACTAATTTCAATTAAATTTGAATATATTTCAATTTATTTTGAATTTATTTGACATAGTATTCAAAACATTACACACACATACACAAAATATGTATTTTGATTTGATGAAACAAGCCACCTTGAGAAAAAATTATAATCAGTTGGTAGCTGTGCCCTAACTTGTAATAATTTAGAGCGTTTTATTAGCGGGCGTTTATAATATGGCCACTACAAACAACACAACAAAACTGTAAGAACCGATAAGTTATCGAAACTGTCACTCAAAAATGATAGTGTGTACACCGCTTAACTTTTGAGGTGAATAAATTCATACGCATACGCCTGCATTTAGGTACAACCCTTAGACTTTTCAATACAGAAAGTCTATTAATCGATTAGTCGAAAGTCGATTTACTGATCCCTAATTCATATTCATTTGGTCAAAGAAAAAAGTGAGTGAGAAACTTTTCAAAGGTGTATGAAAAAATCAATAGAAATATTGATTTTATTATACAAAACTAAGAAAACCAGAAGCCAAATTCGATTAAATATTAGAAGCCAATGAAATTGGCAACTGATAAGAAGTGAAGATTACAGAAAAGCATAATTGTACGGAAATAAAGTTGGCAAAAGTTCGAAACGAAAATTTTTGTAGTGTGAAAACAAAACAGCAATAAAAAAAGTTTTTTGGCAATAAGAAGCAACAACAATTTGAACAAAAATAACCAACTCTTGGAAATATGGCACAAAAGTGAAATTTTGCAAAAAAAAAAAAATTAGCAGACAAAACAAAAAATCAATTAAGTGAATTAAAAACAAAAAAAGAAAAGGTTTTTGTTGTACTCTTTTGCTGCTACTGGCTAGGTGTCTGTCTGCCAGCCTGCTGTTGTGGAGAAGAGCTTAACATTAGTTGAGTGACGTTGTGACAGTGGAACTGTCATTAGGCACTGCTACTTTACATTTGCCTTAGCCGCCCATCAACTACAACAACAGCTGTTTTCTGTTTGTTGCTGTAGTCGCTGCTACTCTACCACTCTGCAAAAAGTCAAACAAAACTCATCAAGCTTCAGCCATATTATTGCTTTTGTTGTTGTTGTCGTTGTCATTGTCATCTTGTGGCTACTTTTACAAATTCATTCACAAAAAAGCAAGCACGAAAAAACAACCAAGCCCCAAAACCCTAGTACTCTTGTTCTCTTCATTGCTTGCCCTGCATAAACATATATGGTGAGAGTGCATTTTGCATACATTGGAGCCCACTCTCTCTCTCACATACACACTCTTTATCTTACGGCATTTGATTACCTTTCTCTCACTCTCATAGCTAATTTACATGGAAATGTCAAATGCAATAATCAGCAGCAGCATCATCCTCATCATCATGTATTGGCGTAGAAAAGAGAGCTGCTCTATATTTTGCAATTGATGGATGGGTGGCATGAAGAAGCAAGAATAGCCTCAAAAAAAAAAAAATAAATAAAATAAAACCTTTAAAATTGAACATATCCATCCATTATTGAAACGGAAAAGCGGTCATTATTTCAAAACATCATATTCATATGCATCACATTTATGGAATTATTTGCAAAGCTTGGCTTGGCCTACGGCAGTGTGTGAAAAACCAAAAACAACACCAACAATAAAACAGTTTTTTATTTAATTAAATAATAACAACAAAATTTGCCTTCCTCTTCAAAAATAAATAAAGAAGTCTATGCGAGAAACCCTCACGATTTTGGCATAATATATGTTAAGTGTTGTTTATCACCATAAATAAAAAAAATAAATTATATATTCCACCCAAGGTTCGTGTGTGTGACAGTTTGTGAGCGCCTAATTCTAATTTAATAATAATATCAACAACGACACAAGAACATCAGCAAAACAAAAGCTCAAATGAGCAGAAATATGCGACAACAGGATGGGGGTCATGGCGCGCCAGTCATGCGACGCAAAGCCAATGCAGCAAGTTCTTTATTGACCCAAGAGGAAAATGAAGCTGTTTTTCGTATGGTCGGTGAGAAATGTCAGGTGAGTTTGTTTTTTAAAGTTAGAATTTAAAATTTATTCACTTTGTTTGTTATTTAAGGGTAAAACCTTAGAGTTATTTAGGAATTCGCAAAAGGGAACAACCATAAACATTAACTATTCATTAAGTTTACGGAAATAGTTGTATGGAAGTACGGATTTTTTTTAATTTAATATGCATTTGGTATGCACGACGCCCTTCTGCTTGCAGATAAATTTCTAAAGATACATAAATGCCTTAATTGAGAAAGTGGATGATTAAGCGGAACAATGTAATAACGAATATGTAGTCTGTAGACAAGAAGTCCTTTTGGGGCCTTAATTACAATGGCTTACATTTTTATACCCTTCACCATTCCATGTTGTTGATGGGGCAAAAAGATTTTGAGTCGACGGAACTGCTTGAGCCTAAACTCTGATGACAATATTCACTCTGTATTCATTGAATACTCTTCAAAATTTGAATACTCTTCAAAATTTTTCGTAAGGGTATAGCTATATCCACCAAATGATGTTTGGGATGACGGTCTAATGTGAAATTCGAAATCCAATAGTTTATATTTCTGTTATAATTTTCTACCATATTGGACGGTGAGAGGTCTTCTTCCTGCTGGGCCTACTGAACGAAGGACTTGGGTCATACAACGGCCTATGGTTTTAGAGGTTTGTATGTCCATATGTATTACTTGAGTCGAACTAAATCCCTTCACAGATATGAATTGACATTGATTATCCCTGATCAGTTGGGAGCCAATTGCATCGAAGTTAGATTTTGACCACATTGAACTGTAAGACGCTCAGGAGGTTGTTGTTGCTGTTGTTGTTGTAGCAGTTTATATGAATTATATTTTTTCTGTTTAAATTCCATCTGGTTCTGTCTTCAAATTTAGAAATGCAGCTGCCTCCACTGGCTGTTACCACAGATCTTCTGGAGTAAGATGAGTAGATTTGGCTGGGCAATTTAATAAGTGCAGTGTGGTATGAGGGCCCGTACCACATGCTGGGCAGACATCCTGCACCTGGTCATCAATTCGTGCCCAATACGAATTGAGACGACTGCACCATCCTGAACGTAATTGGGCCAAAACTACTCTGGTTTTGTCTGGAGCTCCGAGTACGGCATTCAATCTGTATCCGTTCAGCGCTGCGGCTACTGCATCAGTATGAAAGCTATTCAGACCTGCTCGATAGGCAACTTGATCTAGAGGCTCCCTTTTGTAACGTTGAACCTCTCTCTAGATCATGCAGATCTTCCTGACACGCCTGGGTGGGGGAGTCCTATCTACCATATGATGGTTGGTATGATTATCCCTGAAGCACCCGAGCATTCACATCTCCGCAGTGCATGTGGTGAATGATGTGGCTGACGACTTCGTGACGCATATTTTCATATTCCTCGCTTTAAAGAAGGCTGCTAATTTGACGAGATAGGCGTTCAACCTCTCACATATGTCCTCAACAATGGGACCCGATGCCATGATCGCACAATCATCTGCATATGTAACGATTTCTATGCCGTCCGGAGGGCGTGGAATACTCGGGTCGTTTCGGATCGTTGACCCCTTTGTCGTAGAAACGACCGGAAATGGTAGAGGTTAGTGGTCTCAATCTCCGGAGGGAAGTGCTCTCAATGTCCTCAAATAGCATGGTATGGTTGACAGTATCAAACGCTTTTAATAGGTCAAGCGCTACCAACACTGTTCTATCGCAGGACCGGTTCTGGTTAAGTCCACGACTTGTATGTTGTTGCTGTTGTACTGTGTTGCTTACGGAATCCATGTTGATGATCCGCAACTGGGTATGTATCTCTAATGCTGGGGAGAAGTAATGCCACAAGGGTATTCGCTACTGGCGACAAAAGTGAAATCGGCCTGTAAGATTCACCTTTGCCGGAATCCTTGCCCGGCTTCAGGAGGTAGGTTCTGAGGTCTGCGACACATTCACTGCATCACCGATTTGGTGCCGATAAGTACCGCATTTTTCAATCGATATTAGTAGCATTCGGCCTCACTGAACAATCTTCAAATAAGAAACGGTTAGTTCCATAATTTTTGAGTGCCCAATCACAGCATCTTCGTTGACGAAATTCCCCTTCCCTTAATAATTAGGAAAATAGGACGAAATTCGGCTAAAACTTTCAATTTACTGAAAATAATATGGTATCATGATGGAGCCTATGCCAAAACTTGGATCGATATATTTAATTTTAACTAGATGAAGTGTGTCATAAGGGAGGCTATTCTAAATCTTGGATCGATATATTAAATTTTGACTAAATGAAGTTTGTCATAAGAGCTTTAAAGACCATAAGACCACCTCCTATTTAGGATACCCGGTACTTAGTTGTGTCAAAATGTTTAGGTTATGTTATTTAAACTAAATTCAATAAGAGACCTTCGATCTGTTGTACTCATCCTAATTAAAGGAGACGATAGAAGAGAGGGGAAATGAAGAAGTGAAGGGAATATCTAGAATTACCTTTTGAGCAAGGATTAGTTTCAGAATATTGTACAACTCATGGATTAATTTGATATACCTCTTCTTCCCCCGATGTGAATAAAAAAGTCTCCTTAAAGATTAGTTGTGCCTACGAATAACTGTTCGTTCTATGCTGTTTCGCAAATATATATAGATCGCCTATGAATTAGAACTCGACAGAGATGCATTTCACATGTATTTGTTTGATTAGCCCCACTCCATCAGGTTCGGTATGTTGAATTTCCTAGCCGAATTTTCAACCAAAAGTATTTTTAAAAACCAAACCAACCATTCGTGAAAATCTCCTGGCAGACAATTTATCATAAATAATGTTCCACAAAAGGGTCCCGTCCGACTTTGAATGTCTACATTATGGTGGATTGTAAAGGTTTGATTCGATCGAACTTCGCAATTTTTTCTTTTGTTACTAATTTTGTTTTCTTCCGATAAGCCGTCGTTTATACACCCATTTTCCAAATAACTTTTTTTTTGTCCTAATAAAAATACTACAAAAATATGAAAATAACATAAATAAACCTGAATTGTGTAAACCTTCAAAACAAATAACCCATATTTCGTAGACATTCAGACGCTGAAATTATTTTCATCTCATCTGCTCAACTATTTGCAGGAGACTAAAAAAGTGAAATTTTCATAATACACTCAATGTGCAAGCCAACAACCAAAAGCAAACTCAAATGACATCTCTATTATTTGTTGTCCATTGCATACAAGGATGGGAGGGATGGGCAAGCATTGGCAGGTCCTCCTCCTTTTTTTACTTGTACTATAACAACGTGTGCCAACGATTCTAGTAGAAAAATAAACATATCTCTTTGAAAAGGACATACACACTGGGTAACATCCGTCCGTTCCTTATGGCCATGTGAATAACACTAATAGACGACATGAGGCATGCCAAGAAAAAGAAAAATGCACTCACACAAACACACACCGATAGACATCACATTGCAACTTTATCAACACAACTCATGTGACTGCAACAAATATTTATATAGAGAAGTAGGGACTCCTTTGCTATTATAGATTAGAATTCATTGCAGTAGTAGAGCATATAAACAAAAAGACAAGGGAGAAAAGGAGATGGGCAACAAAGATGTCTTGAAAACAACGTGCAACATCATTTATCATCCATCAACGGCTTTTAACAAAAAAAAAAAATGAAAGGATGCCACCAAAAAATAAAACTAGTTGAAAAAAAACTACACCAAAAACCTTCCTTTTTGGCAACAACACATGTTCCAAGAACATTGAACATTTAGCAAGGAAATTACATGTCCAAATCTGTGGAACTATTTTTTGTGATGGTTCTTATGCGACTTACAAACAAATATTAAACTAACAATTTCATTTACTTGTATTACGGGGACACCGCACCACTACAAAATAATGTCAAACTAGTTGACATAATTCTCAAATTACCACACATAACCATGGCTGGTAATAAATATCCATTGACTATTAAGAAAAAAAATACATAATAAACAAATTGAATACATGCTCGGGGTTTTAGTGGTGCCCTAACACTGAAATTGATTTCGTAATTAATAATTAGATTTCGGTTTTGATCGTCAATTTTAAAACCCATATAAAAACTACATTTCACATTTGAAGTGATTAGATTAAATAAAAATAGTGAAAATATAAAGTTTGGCTGGCTGGACGAACACTTTGCATCGTCCACAATATTCAAAATAACTAAAATCGATCAGTCGAACAACGATTCTGCAGAAAAATTGTGGGGTTCCGTTGTATACGGAATACTTAAAAATTTATCCAGTATTAATAATTTTTGTAGGGAGATTTTCTATGCAATGAGTGTTCAAAATATAATAATATAGTGAAGCTGATCAACTCTATTTATACCCTTCACCACACTGTGGTACAGGGTATTATGTCTTTGTGCATATGTTTGTAACAGGCAAAAATAATCGAGATAGACACATGGTTCCTTTTGAGAATATGCATAGAATCACTTTCTAAGTCGATTTATGCATGTCCGTCCGTCCGTCCGTCCGTCCGTCTGTCCGTCCGTCCGTCTGTCCATGTTAAATTGTAAACAAAGTACAGGTCGCATTTATTATCCGAATTGGATGAAATTTGGCATAGGTCACTTATTCGGCCCAAGGACGAACCCTATTGAAATTGGGAAAAATCGGTTCAGATTTAGATATAGCTCCCATATATATATTTAACCGATTTAATGTAAACGGTCCCTATATATATTTCGATTTGCACGAAATTTGGTACAGCTTAATCATTTAGGTCTAGAATGATGTCTGCCAAGTTTCGTGAAAATCGGTCCAGATTTAGATATACCTCCCATATATAGTTTCGTCCGATTTCATGTAAATGGTGCACCAAAATCCCTATATATCTTTCGATTTGCACGAAATTTGGCATAACGTACTGAATTGAGCCTAGAATTATGTCTGCCAAGTTTCGAAAAAATCGGCCCAGATTTAGATATAGCCCCCATATACAGTTGCGTCCGATTTCATGTA